CTGTCAGGGCGACGCGGTGGGCACCTTCTCGACCCCATGATCGCCAACTGGTGGTGCACGGACCCGACCGCTGTACGGCACTGAAGGCCATGGAGGAGGCGCTGCGAAACACACAGGCAGGAGGATAGGACCGGGGGGGAGACACGGGTGGTGAGGGGGAGGGGAGGGGAGGGGAGGGGGGAAAGAGGTTGGGGAGGGGAAAGGGGTCGTACTGGTGTGTGTTTTTCACGCTTGCTGCCGTACAATATATCGCAGGTGTCGGGCCTGCCTACGAACGTTCCCTTCCTGATCCGCCTGGCCAGCCACCCGGCCTTCGTGGCCGCGGGGGGCTCCGACCTGAATACGGCATTCATCTCGAGATACAAAGACGAGCTCATGGCGCCGCAACACGTACCGCCAGAGGTACGTACGGTGCTGTACGGAAGTGTACGGTACATGGGATAGTTTGATGAGATCTTTAATTTTCTTGCAGCATGCCTACGCTAAAAGCGTGAGTGCCACTGCTGACATTACTTCCGCTGTTCCTGTGTTCGCTGTTGCTCTTGTGCTGCCACTGTTACTGCTACTGTTAATGCTGCCACTGCTACTGCTGCTACTGTTAATGCTACTGTTACTGCTCTGCTGCCACTTCCAGGTGGCGGCGCTAGCGGCAGTAGCCCGCCACCTGCTCTCAGTCAGGCGCCAGTCCGAGGCGGAGGGGGCGGGGGGGCTCACGGCCCAGCTGGGGCCCTGGGCAGCTGGGGACAGCAAGCGCCTCTGGTGCGACCACCGCCGTACGTACACTGTACGGCACCCGGAAGGCGGCGAGGGTGCGCAGCTGCGGACATCGCTTGTCGTACAGGGCGCCGGGAACTTTTTGGTAAGATGGATGCTGCTGGTGCTGGTTGGGGTGCGGCTGGGCTGGCATTTTAGTTTGCTAGGGGCCAGGGTGAGCCAAGCTATAATTACCATAACTACCCAAGATGATGCCGTATGCCGTACATCCCGCATGCCTTAGCAACCCCCCGATGATATGCCGTACACAGGTACAGAGCGAGGCGGCCATGGACCGCGGCGGCGCGGCTGCCGGCGAGAATCCCCGCCACCACGCCGCCTCCGTCGCCACCGCCGCCACCGCCCCATCGTCAAACCCCCCACCGGAGGTATCGGTTCGTAACGCCCGACTTGTCAACAGCGACACGCTGACGGCGGAAATCGGCGGGCGCAAGTGTACGGCACACGTGCTCATGTACGACAGCGGCTCTGGTTGCGCCGCGGGTATTCCTGTGGAGCAGGCGCTTGACATGTGGTTGGACGGGGAGCACTACCATTTCACGTGAGTACGGTGCCGTACAGGTACAGCACACAGTGCAGATATACGCTCACCCTCATAGCTCGCAACAACTTCTTCCTTTCCTAGGCGGGTGCGGGTGCGGGTGCACATGCTGGGGACGCAATGGTGGATAGCTGTGGTGAGGATCATGTACGAATATGTACGAATATGCAGCTGGGATGGGGCTGACCGGGGCTTCTTTTTTTCTTTTTGTTCTTTTCGCTTCGGAAAGATCCCAGCCACCCACCCACCCAAGGGAGTCGAATGGCGGAGGAGAGCGGGGGAAGAGCAGCCGTGCGGCACGCTACATCGCGCACGTAGTCGTAATCTCGATGTGGACTTGCACATCGCGCATATCGCACTATATCACTAAAAAATATACTGATGGAACTTTTGAGCCGAGTAGTGTGTTGAGGTGTATGGGAGGCACCATGGACTGGGGGGGGGGTTACAGTGCTGACTGGCTAGGTTGGCTTCCCGTATCTGTACTGCTAACAACGGTTATTGAGTCAGTTGCGGTTGCGGTTTTCGCCATCGGTTGCAGGTGGTTGGAGCCCACCTGGAGTCGCAAGGCGGGCGCTGCGGGCGCAGCGGCTGCAGGTGGTGATAGTGGTGGTGGGGGTGTTGGGGGTGCGGTACGTGCCCCCATGCCGGGCCGTGTGGTGGCGGTGCTGGCGGCGGAGGGAGCGGCCGTCAAGGCAGGCAAGTCGTGTCGTACCGTGTCGTGTTTCGATACCACGCCGGATCAGAGTGGGGACAATAACCCACGGGGGCAATAACTCACACGCACACACACGCCCGGGCCTTCATGAAGGATTATCCCAGGCGACGCACCCACCGACCCACCGACCCACCAACCCACCGACCCACCGACCACTCGGCTCGGCTCGGCTCTGATTAGATTCGCCTGTCAACTGTGAATATACGTTCACTTTAGCATTTTAAGAATTGTATAAGAATTGTAAGAATAACGAGAAATACAGACATGCACGCATTATTCTGCTGCCCTGGGCCGCGCCGCCACCATTGTTTCCTATTCAGGCACCCCCCTGTTGGCGCTCGAGGCCATGAAGATGGAGCACAGCGTGGTGGCGCCTGTGGATGGGGTGGTGCAGCAGTTGATGGTGGGTCCAGGGATGCAGGTGGCGCAGGGCCAGGTCATGGCGGTGGTGGGGCCGGCGGCGACGGCGGTGGGCGCAGAGAAGACGAAGGATGTGACGAATAAGGATAGCGAGGGGCAGGCGCCGGCACAGGCTGGGCAGGAGGACGGCAAGTAGTATGATTTGAGCAGCGATGTTGATGGCGATGGAAGTGGCAGCCGGACAGATCGTGAATTGGGGTCTTCTTTTGGAGGCCCTTGTACTAAGGTGTCCTCGTACTAAGGTGGAAGTGGTTGTTGGGTAGTTGGAGCTACAGACAGGTTTTCGTCGTCGGGTTCTAATCCAGGTAGGGTTTCAGATTTTATGGGGAGGGGAGTTTTTGGCGAGAAGCTCGCGCCTTCCCCCCTTGGAGGTGGGGTGACGGGGTGGAGGGGTGGGAGGTGGAAGGGGCGGAAACGGGGGAAGTTTCTGTTGTTGTTAAAAAAAGGGATGCTGTGAGGTGCTGCAGGAGGAGGAGGTGTCGCAGCTGTAAGATAAATCGCTGGAGGATGAGCCAGCCATGTGGCACATTTATATGTGTGTTTTCAGGAGCGTGTGATGGTGAGAGCGAGTGTGGTGGTGCTGATGCTGCGAGAACGCGAGAGTGTGAGTTGATTCCAGGGAGGGCCGTGAGGGGGAAGGTTTTGGGTTGAGTTGAGTTTGTCAAGGTGTTGGGGGAAATGGAATTGAGGAAGAGTTGCGGATTTCAGGGGCTAAATTTGTGGAGTGCGGCGGCGTTGATATCGGCGTATTTCCTGAATTGTTTGTCCAGCTGTAGGCAGAGTAAAGAAGTTCTGCATGTCGTCGTCGGTTGCCATTCATGGGTTCGCGCGCAGGTTTTGGAGGATGGTGTCATCCTTCAGTGAAGTTGCGCGGATGGCCTTTTGAACTTGTACCTTACCTTGGACCTCTATTATATTACAGGCAGGGGGTTGTTGGGATCTTGGGAATTTTTGTTGTAATCGCGCCTTGGATGCAGACATCGGCAAACGCTTCGGGTCGTACCGAAAATCCCGAAAACAGAAAGAGTTCCCGAAGCCAGCCTGCTTGCAGAAATAGGATCATACGCCGTTATACGAAGGCGTTATGCGGCCCGAAGGGCCGCCCGACGACCTAAGTCCGCGGTCAATGTTGAAGAACAAGTCACGGGCCATGATCGCTTTCTTGCTGATCCAGCTAGCTGTCGCCATTTGCGCTCCACTATTAGCATTGGGCAATGTTTGGCGGATAGTTGGATGCGCTATTTCACTGTCAGTTGCCGGTTGTGGCAACTGACCCAGTACGAACTCATCGGCAGCATCGAGGTTCACGGCACCCACATGCTAAGATTTTCTGGTGTTGTTCATTGCAGTTGGATTGTCCGAAGGTGGCGTTCGGTCGCATCGCAGAGTGGACGGAGCTCTCCCTCTCATCAAGCTGCGATTTAAGCTGAACTTTTGCAAGCGTAGCAGGTGTGAAATAAAATAATGGAGAACGGTAAATATGCCACTAGTTATGAGGAGATCAAGGCTGCTGCGGCAAGGATAGGCAGCTTTATAAACCGAACGCCGGTTCAGACCTGCTCGACAATCGACAAGCTTGCTGGAAGAAGTGTCTTCTTCAAATGCGAAACTTTCCAGAAAACGTGAGCAGGAATGATCAGGTTTCCTGCCTGAAATGTGTGGCTTTCACAACAGGCGAAATGTCTTTTGATCAATCATGCTAGAGCACCAAAGGTCGTCCAGCAACGGCACACGTTGCTCTCTTCCTCCATACTTCAGGGGCGCTTTCAAGTTCCGTGGGGCTTGCAATAGTGTCTTTTCGCTCAGTGATGAGGACGCCAAGCGCGGTGTGGTCACCCACAGGTGTGAGTTGCTGACTGTGGCAGCCATCAACTGTTACCACGACCTTTTCCCGTCTTGCCTTATGAGATACCCACATCTATGGAGACCGCAAACCATGCAAGCATTGCGTTTGATTTGCTATGGCTTGGGCTCTTGAGTATAGAGCACCTCGGGGCCTGGAACCCGAAAACTCTTTCTGCTCCTGTGGTGTGTGTGCTTCAAAGAGATCGGACGTGTCCCTTAAACAATGTACACATCCCTGACTTCTGCAGTTGTCTGCTTTGCATTTGTACACGATTCACTGTACATCCCCGCTGTACTCTGGCGTCCGTGTGCAGTTCCGGCAATCATGCTGCCGCGCTGGCGCTGGCGGCCAAGCTCCGTGGCATTCCTGCCCACATAGTCGTTCCCAGGACCACGCCGCAATGCAAAGTCGATGCGGTGATCGAGTATGGAGGTTAGTGAGTGAGTGGGCCGGTGGGTGAGCATGCCCAGGGCCAGGCTTGGCCTGGAGGGCTTGGCTTAGCTTGGCTTGGCATAGCTAACTTGCGTTGGGATGGGATGGGATGTTCTTCACTGGGCTGATACTCTTGTGTTGCCTGTCGGGCTGGGCATTGCGCACGGTTGCCGCTGGAACGAAGTACATAGACATACACATATAGACATACACATATAGACATACACATATAGACATACACATATAGACATACACATACACACACGCACGTATCGAAAGCACACATGAAGACTCGAGCGATCAACCAGGCACACATGCACACGTGCTCTTTCCTACACGCCCTTTCTGCCCTTCACCTCTTCCTCTCTCTTTCTCTCTGTCACACACAAACATGCACACAAAGACACACAGCGCTTCGGTCATTGCATTCTCCGCATCGCTGACCTCCCATTCCAGGTGAGGTGCACTTCTGTGAGCCCACCATGGAGGCCCGAGAAGCCGCATGTGCCGAGCTTCAAGCCCGTACAGGTGCCGTACTGGTGCCGCCGTACAACTACGGCCCGGTCATGGCGGGGCAGGGTACGATTGCCATTGAGTTCCTTCAGCAGGTGAGGGCCATGGCGGCGGTGGTTGTGGTGGTTGACGCGCTGTCGGACGGTCGTTTTTCATAGTTGTACAGTGCTTTTGTTATCATTGTGTTTTTTGCTACACATAAACTCCACAGGTTTTTGCGTCGGGTGTACATTACCATGTTTTCTTCTCATCTGTTTCACGTTTCCCCGATCTTTGCAACGTTTGTATGAAATAGCTACCCTGAGGCTATTTCCCGCTCAAAAACTGTCCTGGTGCGGTTTTTGTTTGCTGTCCCCCACCACCTCTTTTCAGGTTCCTGATCTGGATGTGTTGGTGGTGCCCATATCCGGAGGCGGAATGATTAGCGGCATGGCACTCGCAGCTAAAGCCATCAATCCAGGAATTAAGGCAAGAACAGGGTCCTCTTCGGGCTCCTCAGGGTGCAAAATCGATTGTGGTAGTGATTTAGCCAAAATCCAAAAATTCAAATTTGAATATTCAGATCAAAATTCAAATTCTTAAATTCAAACGCGCAGCCCGAGAACGCCCCATAAACCGCCAACCGGTCTCTCACTTCAGGTGGTCGCGGCCGAACCCGCCGGCAGCAACCGCTCCCCGGATGTGGCCCTCGCCAAGATTGCTGGTTGGCTGGTGCCGTGCGCCCGTACGGAAACCATTGCAGACGGATTGCAGGGTGAGATGGGCGGTTGTCGTACACGTCGCTGTCCAATGTCGTATATTTCCTGCCTTGTCGCCGGCCCCGCCTGTTGCCAAAAAAACCCAACCCGCCCTTGCCTCCCACTCTCCCTCCTCATTCCCCTCTGGCCGGTACCACACGCGTAGGCCGCATGGGCGATCTGACGTGGCCTGTGGTTCGTGACTTGGTTGACGGTGTGGTGGTGGTGGATGAGGCGGAGATTGTGGGGGCCATGCGGCTCATCATGGAGAGAATGAAGGTACGACAACTAGGGAACGAGGTCGTTGGGGGTAGTTGAGGGTAGGGAGTGAGAGGAAGACGATTCTTCAAGGATGTGTCTTTGTTGGGCTCCTCCTCCTCCTCCTCCTCCTCCTCCTCCCCTTCCTATATGCCCTTTGTCCCCCTTCACATTTGCAGTTGGTTCATGGCCCACCCGCATCTCCCTTTTTTCCCGTAATTCTCCCCCCCCCTCTCTCTCTCCTTCCTCAATCGTAGCCCACGTGCACCTATTGTTCCTCGTGCCTTCCTTCCCTCTCCTTCCCCCACCCCTGACAAACTGACAAACACCCTCCAGTTGGTGGTGGAGCCCAGCGGGGCCGTGGGTTTGGCTGCCGTACTTTCCCCCGGCTGGGGTGCCAGTGCCGCCACTCGTGGCTGCCAGCGTGTGGGTGTGGTGCTGTGCGGGGGTAACCTCGACTTGCAGACGCGGGGGTTTTGGGACATGTGGCTGCCTAGCGCAGTCCAGGGGGATCAGAAGGAGAACTAGGAAGGGGGGAAGGGGGGGGGCTACATGGAGGATAAGGGGCAAGACAACGTGAAGGTAATGGGGCGGCTGGACGAAGGGGGAAGCGGATTAGCAGGCGTGATGGACTAGGAGAGGACTTTGAAGAATGCTGAATGAGCGATTGCCTTTGCCCTTTCATAGGGGAGGGGAAAGGGGAGGGGTTCACGTTGGTGTCGCACAGAGGGCATTATCGGTGATGAAGACGGGGGGGGGGAGGCGGGAGGGGGGCTGGGGGGGACGGGGCGATGAGCGGGGCTGGTGGGAAACTCGGGAAGATGGACGGGCGGACTTGAAGGCATCACCGGCGGCTGATGGGGATGGGCTGTATATATTTTTCACTGCCATGACGGGCGATGTGGCGAGGGAGAGCAGTGCAGTAAGAGGGCTTGGCGAGCTGGGAGTATCTTACTTGGGCGTCATGAACACGTGCGGGGATGTCGTGATGTGGATATGCTCGGGGACATGTGCACGTGTGAAGTGCAGTAAGACGTGTTCGAGGCACCAAATGCACGAAAAAATGTGATTAACGCCAGAGTTTTGCTCTTGTACTTGTTCGTATGTGTGTGTCTCTGCGCGCTGTGCTGCAATTTTTGCGACATGGTGGTGTCGTTGCGCAGATCGTCATTACCAACCTGCTTCCTATTCATATACTATATTTGTGTGTGAACGGTGACCGAAGAGAGCGTCGCACTGGAAGGAAGGAGGCATATTGGGAGGGGGGAGGAAAAGTAGGGATGACTAGCTGATTACTGCCAACGATGCAAACGCTGAGCGCAGTAAAACTTGCTGACCGAACTTGATGCGTTGGGTCTGAAAATGGACGTGTCCATCAAAGTCCCAAAGCTTTTACAATACCAGAGGATGATGGTTCCGCTTGTATCGTTCACAAACCAACGATGATCTCGGGGCATGCGAGGCGGTGTAATTCACTATGAAAGTGAAAGGCTGAGTGGTAACTTTAATCGTGGTATACGTACCGATGTCATGTTACTTAGATGGTTGACAATGGTTTGTCCCTTTATCATAGATGGAGTGATCCACGTGCACCATAAGGGTAAGTCCGACACCACCAACTCCAATGTACAGAAACACACACACCGCACGAGTTAAACAAACTTTCTCACGTAATTGCAGAAAATTCTACTCACGTTGCGCAGTGACATAGGCAATGTTCCTTTCTAAACAGAGATACCTTGTACACCCCCATTTTTTGTATATCATAGCAGCAGCAATAATAGCTTTTGCACATGGCTAGCGGGAATCAGCGTCGATATATGCAAAATAAGGTTCCTTCCTTCCAAATCATCCCTAAAGATTCAAAGCGTGTCCATCTTCTGCATAGCGGACGTCGTCGTCATCACTAAGCATTCCGACCTCCTCAACGAACACCATGCTACACGCATAAGATTCCGCACCCATACATGATGTAAGGCAGAGATCGACGGCACCATGTTCCCTTATGATCGCAAATTTCCCCTACACCTCAATATATAACAAGACACAAAATCTACCCATGCGAACATTCACAACTTACGAACTGCAACACCAACCTTTGATGAAAAGCACAACATCAACTCATCGCAAAAATCTCCCGTGCATAATGCTCCTATATACAACACGTCAAGCCCTACAGCCCATGTGCACCGGCGTGTCGTTCGGACGTCTTCAGGCTTTACCACAGTCGGGCTTTACTACACTGGAAAGTGTGGAGCGTTGGTAGGACGCATCCAATGGAGTGCAGCGAGCTCTGAACCCCGCAGACGACGAGATGAGATCACGGCGATTGAACGTAAGGGTCCTCCACCCTACCAAACCGACAGCGACATCGTGTGTTACTTTTATTCTTACCGCCGTACGGCCACATAACACCCCCCCGGTATGCTAAAAGCCGTCCAGGCAAGGACAACACAAAATCCCCCACAGAACGAGCAAAACCCCCCAGCACAAAAACAAGGTGGGTTTACAAACACGACGCTAAACAACAAAGAACTTCCCAGCCGAACGCCACCACTTTGCAAGCCCTGAGCAGCATAAACGTGTCCCCTTGCAGTCGCTACTCCTGCTGGTGAAACAGCTCCTGCAGCGACTTGTGCAGTGCTGCACAAGCAATCCCTTCCTCCCAAATTTGAAGGTCTATTTCTACAGCAATAACAATTCCGAAGGCTCACACACACACACACACACACACACATAGGGAACACTGGAGGAGCAAGCTACACTGAAACCTAGTCCTAACGTGGACACACGCAAAACAAGACGTAAAGGGTTTATGCTTCCTCAACAAAACCGTGACAGTCATAACCTACACCAAAACCAAATTCCTTGCCCAAAGGTGCTGCAAACCACGAACCGAGCAACGTCAATAACGCAGTGCACCCTATTACGATCAAACACCAAGACTGCATGCGACTCAGCGAGCCCCAAGTCCATGCAACACAATCGCCCATAACCATAAAAAACGTGCCGTGGCGGTGAACGAATGGCGAGCAAATGTTTCATAACCATAAAAGGAATACCGTCTAATGTGTAATGCGATTCGTAGGAAGCGTCACGATACTGAGCTGCGCTTTCTCAGAAGTCGTACTTGTACGATGTATCCCATGCCATACGCAACCCTCATACCCCTTTTGTATTGCTGTTCCCGCTACGTCCTATTGCCGCAAATGAGGCAGCGTGCGATCGGCTCGAATCTGGTGGGAGAATCCAGGGCCCTCCCCTCCTAACATAAGAGCTAACAACACTGCCTAGTGAGCTTTGGCCTTGTGGGCACCCTTGCGACGGCTACTTTGCCTCTTTCCTTCCAGCCGCTGGGTGTACGACACTCCGGGCGTCATCGACGCCGAGGATGTCGTCGACACTGATGCAGATGCGGTCTTGAGCTTTCGCGACGTTGGCGCATCTCTGACGGGGTCCACCAAACCGGCTGTCCCACACGACACGGCCATGATGCCGCTCTGACCACTCTCATTGCGCATGGCCTCATCGCCCTCGCGCATGCCCGCAACGACACGGCTAGCTGATAGCAACTGGGAATTGTCCGGCTGCAGTGTAACTCCCGAAACCAGCTCCGGAACCAAAAGGAAGGCCTGCTCGGGCTCAACGACAGGCGCCGGTCCTACACTGCCCAGTCCAGAGGCGTTATCCAGTGAATTTCCATGGATTGGGGCTTCGTTATCAGAGTTCGGGTTTACAGGAGATGATACAATGAAGGGAGCAGAATGTAGGATGGGCTCCTCCAGCGGTTCAGCGGCGTCACCGGAGAGCCCAGAGGTCGCCAGGGGTGCAGGAACCTCGACAGAAGTCGATGCCTCACCCTCCGGAGTTGCGGCACTGAGAGAAAGGCTACTGTCATCTGGGTCATTGTCGGCTGTTTCATCGGCATCGGCATCAACGGTCATTACAGTTGGGATGACGGTAGCTTCTGGAGCTACTTCCGTCACACCGCAGCCACCGCTTGTATCGGAAAGAGCAGCATTGCATACGATCGCGCCAAGGCCGATAAGCTCCACAAGCTCCGCCGTGGCAGTAGCGTTGGGATCGTGCTGAGCCGCTGGCGTGTTGTTTGGGACCGCCAGGGTGCACTCACCACTGGCCGCGTCGCTGAGGTTTGAAGTAGCCTGGTATGTCCAGGTGCCATCAGCGATAAAGGCCCGCGGAGCAGTTGGCGTTACCTGGGACGGGTTCTTGTGGCAGGAGGTAGCAGCCGAGGGCACACCAGATATGTCGACAGGCGCATGGGGCAACGGGTCGTCTGCCTTCGGTGTACTCGGGGCTGCCGGAGAGCTTTGGGGCGCTTGCACAGGAGGAGCGGTTGCAAGCCGTGGCAAGAACGTGAACGCTAACCTCGGTCGCTGCTCTTGTTGCTGCTCGTGATCCTCTTGCTGCTGATGCTGGCAACGAGTCTCGTGACCGTGGGCGAGATGCTGGAAATTTCCCAAAGGACAACGGGGGTTTGGAGCAATCGGGTCATTAGGGCGGGCTAGGCGTCTGCAGACGTTTGCGCTGAGAAACTTGCAATAAAATAATTCCATTTCTGATGGGCGTAATTCGGGAAGCTTGCCTTCTCGAAAGTGATGTGCGGGGCAACGCATGCGTTCGGTGCTGACGGAGGTAACGGCCAGAACGACCGGACTTCGAAGCAGGCCCCGGGAGCCTGTGCAATCTCCCGATCTAACCTTGGATCCGTGTGTCGATACTGCTGCATTCGCAATAGCTACTTGGACTGCAGCGTGCAGCAGCTTTGTCATCACTTCCAGTACGCCACCGGCCAAGCCAGCCACCGCACCCGCCGTGTAGAAGAGGCGCGCGAGTACGCCCTCCTGTATTTGTATGAACTGTTAGACAGCCACAGGTGTAGGGGACTGGAAGCGAACCCCCAACCTACCGGGATTTCCGAGACGGTTTGTGGCTCCATAGTTTATGATCAGCAGCGCACCACAATCTGCATCACGTACTCAGCACAGAAGGGGCCAGGCCAGGGTGTGTATCTGTTGTTTGTTTGGGCGAATAGCGCGGTAAATGTCTAACAGCCCAAAAAGCTCAAGAAGTGATGAGCATCCAAAATTAAATTTGTATATGCATCAACATAAAAAGATTATCTGCGCATCTGAGGACTTTGTACGTTCATCAAGGACAGAGGTTCCATTCCAGTTGTACAACAACTTCCAAGCCCTTCCAAACTATTTTGTCCAAAATCGCAATCGGCAGCTGGACTTGCCTGGCCTAAAACTTTGTTGTTGATCTTTAGATTGGCATTCAAACTCTTGGTGTCAAAACTTTCTTGACCAGACGCTTGAAAACAGGAAACACCAGCTGGCACCTTGCCATTTCACTAGGTGGAGGGGGCCCGGCGCCATGGCCCGCCTCCTGCGCGGTGTCTGGGTAGCTGGGGTGCTCGCGGCGATTGTCCTCACTTCGCCTTCGGCCAATGCGGCAAGCTGCTACCAGTTCCTTACAAAAGATGATTATCCTAGTTGCTTACAACTAGATGCAAACCTTGTCCTTTACTGGAAGATAATAGATAACCAGACGCTGGAGCTCGCGGCTGATGGTGATGGGTACATGGACTGGATAGCCATCGGCATTTCGGAGGCGGGTATGAAGGGAGTGGACTATAGTGTTTCATACCTTCCTACCCAAGGCTCCTCATGGCTCGTTGGGTAAGTCAGCCCAGGTGCAAGCGTGCAAATGGACCCAACTGGTGTGCCGCTGCTGAACACGGCGCAACCGTTTGTACCTGTAGAGATTACTACACCACAGGTGACTTGACCCCTACCTATGATGAGGAACAGAATATTATCATGGTGAGCAGTCATGGATACTTGCCACGGCCGGGGCCAGGATCACGCGCTAGGGCATACACCGTACAGAGGCACACACAGGGGACGGGATGCCGAGCTTTTGCAGCTGCTGTACAGCAAAAAGCGCCCCCCAAAACATAGGGCCCAACACCTCTGCTGATCTGCTGTACCGTTGTTCTTATCGGGCTCCCTGGGGTGCTGCTCCCAGTGTAGGCCGTGTCGATGCCCTCCATGCCTTCCGAAGCTCAAGTCATGGAGCTCCATTCCTAGACACCTCATACCGTACTTAAGACTCAGTCCTGACCTGGAAATTTGCTATCACTAGCTCCTTTACGCGAATCCCCGCTCTGGGGCCCAGCCCGTACCCCTAGCCCTCCTACCCCTCGCACACGCACGCTCACCCCGGTCCACACACTGCCCTGCATCCACGCCAAGTTCCGGCCAAACTGCTGCGGTAGAGTTCACCTCCGCCGCCGCAGTCCCAGGTCCACTGTCCGCGCATCATTACACATTCCCTGGGACAGATTTGTTCACCTCGCGCACACGACAAGTTTAATCCCCAATCCGTGAAACCCAAATCCCTGCAGTCCACCATGCCAGTGTTCGATAAGGATAATCGCACATTTGCGGCGATTCAGCGTCCTTTGGACTCCTGCGATGATGAGGATACTCCAGTCTACCTTGATGTGGAACGGTCCATTATCTGGGGCTACAGCTGGAACACGAATTGGGACCAAGCCAAGAACTTTCTGTTCACTAAGGGCATCCTGCCGGGTGTACGGCTGTTCACATCCGCCAACTCAACCGCAACCGTCGTCAACACCTCAATCGACGCAACTGTAAGCGTTCCACAGGCGGCCTCGGCTCGCCTCGCCATGCCCAATTACCCCGTGCCACCCAATTCCACCACCATCGCCTGCGTCAACCTGGCGCTGCCGAACACAACCAAGTATCACGTAGTACGGTACCAGGGCTTCGCCGCAACACCGATGGTGGTCCGCATGGTGGGCTACGTGTGCGCCGCGGGCGTCGTGCCGAAGCAGCCGTACGGAGTGCCGTATGATTGCAGTGCGGCCACAACGCTGCTGCCGGGGCTGCCAGGGACGCTGCCTCTGGGCTGCGAGACGCTCAACTTTGTGTGGGCGCCCGGTGCGGGGCCATTCGAGGCCCCGCCGGAGGCGGGCTTCCTGATCGGTGCAGATGCCGCAACCAGCATGGTGCTGCAGGTGGTCTATTGGAACCCGGACGGTGTGGTAGGCCAGGTGAGGCCGGGGGCCCATGTGCTTCCGCGTCGGCGGCTTGAGAAGCCCGGTTGAGGCGAGGAGTAGCGTCGGCGGGAGCCTGGGGGGCCTGCTGCATACCATTCGAATAGAGGCAATGGGGAGAGGAGATGAGGGGGCTGAAAGCAGTGAGATGTATCAGGTTGATTTGGGAGACATAACCTGGAGTGGGGCTCAGTGTTTTGCTGTGGTCTCCGTGTGTGGCTGGTACGGGCACCACGATCACGGTGTTGTCTTAACCCACGGTCCTGGGCTCTTTGCCCTGAGCTCGTCCTGACGCCCTTGTTTGTATCAGGTGGACTCGTCGGGCTTCAGCCTGGTGTACACGCCACAGCTGCGAAACGCCAGCCTGGGCGTCCTGACAGTGGGAAATACCGACATGCGCATCCCGGCCGGCAACGACTCCTTCCAGGCGCTGCCCAACATCTGCCCTTCGGACTGCACCGCGAAGCGGGTGCTGGCGCCTGTGACGCTCGTGTCTAACTTCTTCGTCATGGGCGGCATGGTGGGTCGGCAGCTGGGCAGTCGGACAGGTTGCTGGACGACTAGATACTGGCGATAGATACTTTTGACCGCAGGTCGGTTCACTACCGACACCGTGTCCGCCATTGCTCCCCCTTCTGTTTCTCCGTTTTGCAACAGGGTAAGAGCATGCTAACGAGGCACATCCGCAACGGTAGCGCCATTATGCCCGTTGGCCGCATCAACTATTGGGACCAGAAGTACGCGGTGAGACAGGGCAGTGGTAGTGGGGTTGGTGATCGTGTGTGTGGGGCGGGATCATGCCTGGTTAGCAGCGGTTCTGCCCCGGGGTAGGGAACTTGAGGGTCGTGAGCTGTGCAGCGCCACAAGGTCAACTGCAGGAGAGTGGATTCAGGTTTGATAGAGCTGAACGGCCCCGAGCTTTTCCCATTGCGCAGCGCACAATGTTATACAGCTCCTGAAGAGTCGCCGGAACGGCAATGGTTGAACCCGTTAACTGCGGAAACCCATAACATTGATATGTGCCCCAGTATGGATACCGCCACCCGAATACTGTGCGGTCATGTATATGTCCGTGCTAGCTCACTTATAGACACGGGCAGCTTGTTTGAGACCTATTAACGCAGCCTGGAGCGGTGACATCCGAGGCCCCATCCGAGCGCACTGCTGTCCCCGCCTCGCTTCTTGACCTACCTGGCCACCACAGCCCTCCTGATCTCTCCCACCTCTTTGGGACCTGTCCCAAAGGGGTGGGACCTGTGAAGCTGATGTTACCAGACTGTTTATACCGCATATTTCCTCCGTCCCGTCCCGTGGTTCAGGGTTTCCAAGCCGTTTTTCCTGAGTCACGGACGCTGCTGCCCAACGACACCGTCATTAGCGTGTGCACTTACGACAGCTCCAACGCCACCAAAATGATCTACTTCGGCTACGATAAAGGCAGTGAGGTGAGGGTGAGGCGGGGTCTCTTTGCCAAGGCCTGCTGACGGCATGCTAAGGAAACCCGGCTTGGGGTATGGTGGAGGACCCTGGGCAAGTTGCCGTCCTGTAGAGGCAGCATGCTGTGGTGGCCCCAAACGTTTAAAAGGGGCCTGCAGGTAATGACGTGAAAAAGGGATACAGATGGCCTCTCGGACTTGCTTTTCGTGACTTGCCCCTTCCTAACCCATTCCCATACATGCGCTTATTTCTTAACTTAACCGGCAGACGCGGTCTGGTCTAATCTGCCTTAGCACCCCACCCAGTCGAGCCTGATGCGTTGTTTTTCTTCTGTGTCGGCTGTTCCCTTACTCTGCCGGTGCTGTCCCCAAAACCGTTCCCAAACCATGCACACTACGTTTCCTGCCCCGCAGCTGTGCTTCAACTACATCACCTTCTACCCCACGACCGCCATGCCCGATCTCGACTATTGCATCGCGCGCACCCGCGACAACGTGTCCACGTGCAGCACCAGGACTCGCCTGACGCCCTACGCTCAGAAGGCCACTAGTGACATGTATTGGGTAAGCAGCGGATGCCGTCGCAGGCCTGGATCCGATTCAGTGAAGGAAGAACAGCCGACTAAGGCTAAAACGCAGATCCGGGCTGGGTGGATGGGTAGGTGAGGATGCGGAGGAGGACGGCTCATGCATTGAGCCTAGACAGGACTGTAGCGGAAATGCAGTGGCATTGGGAGGCGCAGGAGGAGGACGGAAAACCATGCGACTTCCCCCAGATAAGGCCCGATTAAGGCCCGATTAAGACCCGAAAGCTGATGGAGGGTTGGGGAGGTAATATGGATGGATAGGTGGACGACGGCGTGCTGGCAGGACAGGTGGTTTCGCGTGTTGCGTTTTCGCATATGTTGCAGGATGTCCGCAAGCCAACCATAATATATGGGAACGAAGGCAGCAGAGCTATGAGCGCGCTAGGACATGGACAAGGGCCGTGACAGAGGCGTGTCGGGGCCCATGCTATCTTGCTAGGCACCACGTTGGGCCCGCGCACCCTCACTCCCCCACCCGAACCCCCTGCCCTGCTTTGGCTCTGGCTGCATGGTTGAATTTTTGCCGTTGCTTGGTTTCCCCTGCCTTGTTCACTTACCGTCTTTCTGGCTTTGCTGAAGTGACCGCACTGCGGCGTGCCGTGCTGTGCCGTGCACCTGCAGAATGGCACCCGGCTCCAAGTGGGCCCGCTCAGCATTGCAACTTACAAGTCGCAGGAGTGCCAGTTGCATGACGCACTTGTCGTAACGCCGCAGCGTGCGCCCAACACCAGGGCGGCTGTTGCATCCATTGTGCTGGTAAGGGTATTGCATGCGTGCGAACCTCTTGTCACTTGTAATCACGTTTGTCGAGCGTTTGGACCCAAATAGGTTGTAACCCCCAATGGAGATGAGGTGGGATGAGAAGGTTAACGATCGATGTGCCCTTTTTTGGCACGCAGGTGCCGATCGTCCTGGTGCTGGTGGGAGTTATCATCTGGACCAAGTACAGGTATGTGCGTGGTGCGTGTGCAGGCGCGCGCAAAGTCCGCCTTCTGAGGCTGACATGGCTGGACGCGGATCAGAGGTTCCTGAGATCTGCCCTGGGGTGGGAATGAGAAGGCCTGCTTGAAGAACGTTCTCGTCTCCATCCTTCCTGGCTCCCTGTCACACCCCTGGCTTACCTTACCACCCTATCCATCCAGTCCTTCCGTCCATGAAGGAATGTACGTGGGAGTTGGTCTAATGGTTAGTTGACTCCAAGACTCGTTGCTGTCCTTGCGAAGTTACATTCTCTTGGGAGCTCCTCTCTCTCTCTCTCTCTCTGCTTTCGGCGTGGTTACCAGATTTCTATCTCACAACCACACCTAATTCCTTGACCTGCAGCAAAGAGGAGGAGATGGAGCGGCTTCTGGAGCAGGCCCGAGCTGGAGTCCTCGACCCCCTGCCTGCGGACTGAGGAGCGTCCTCAAAGCATCGAGGGAGAAATCCCGACTGTCTAGAGGCTGGCAACATTGGCCCAGCAGGAGGCCTAGACTCGGGTTCTCAGGCGTTGAATGTAAACACGCGCATCAATGCTCGTGGAACCGGACTGGAGTCTGCCGATGCGGCGCATGCGTTCCAGGGATCAAGGCCTTAGTGGAATCCAGCCATGTTGGTCGTGTTTCTTTGTTTACTTTCTCTCGCAGTCCGTTTCTTCTCTCCCTTTTATTTCACTGTCAGCAAACATGTTTGATAAAAGCAAGGTAAAAGTTCCGTTTCCATGCGTGCCATTTTTATGGTCCACGCATGCGGCTTGCTAGGGCATAAAAGTGCGACGACTGAAGACTAACGGTGCTGCTGATTAACGACATCGATGCCAGGCGAGGAAAAATTAGATGCAGCAATCGGAAGCAGGGTAAGGGGACTATGACTTGAGGGACTATGCCGGCCCGGGCCGTTGTCGACCTATCGGCGAGGGTCATTGAGAGGTGGGCAACTGCCTGGAAACACGCGTGTTACCCGACTGATTTTTGTTGTCTTTCGGCAGTCGGGGAATGGTTCTGACCTGTCTTTTCCGTGTGGAGAAAATTAAAAACGTGGCTTGATGTGTACGGCCAGCGCTGGACGTCAGCAGTGGGTCTAACCCTGCTTTGCATGTGGGAGAGAGTGACATTACGGCTGAGACCAATATAAAACGCGATTTCGTCGTGTGCAAGCAGTATATGGAGCTTCATTATGAAAGGGTGGTATGAGTGACAGTGAGCGTGTGCGGTTTTTGAGAGGAGAGGGAAGGTCTCAGTTTGATAGCCAACTAGGTTCGACTCGAAATGGCCAGGTGGGCGGGCTAGCTTACGCATGTGCGCTGTTCGGCATGTGCCAGGCGCTCTCAGCATTGGCACACATGGGTTCACGAGGAGTCGGAACTGGATCATGGATGCTTCTTGTACTGGAGACCTTGTTCGCGGATGCGGAGACACTAGGCCTGAAGCCCGTCAATGTGCATGCGTGCGTGCGTGCGGGTGCGGGGCCCATAAACGGTGTAAGCTAACAGCCGAAGACGAATGCCAGCACACAGTGGCCGATGAGCTTGGCAAGTCTGCCTGTAAGCCGCCTGTTAGCACTGCGCCAACCCTTTTGTGGTCTGGGCCATTTGCTGTTACCATCCTTACTACCAACACCATGGCAAACACTTGCCTTGACCTTCTTATGGCGTACCAAGACGTTACTGACCCTACGGTACCTCCCGAACCTGCACCTTCTTAGGCAGCTCCGCATACATGCTCTCCACTCAATCCGCAAAACGCCATTGCACACGCACGGTGCGCCTGACGCCATAATTCGGGAAAGTCCGAGCATCCGAGCTTTGAAGCTGCCCGAAAACGTTGGGCCGATAAGCGTATAGAGGTTACAAACGCACTGAGACGAGTCTGTAAAGGTAGTGGATACCAGAAGATATCCTGCCACCTCGACCAAGGATGTATGCTTTGGACCTCTGCTGTTACCAGTCAGCTCTTCCTAGTCTTTCCCTGCCCGGTCCTTGAACCCCGGGCGCAACGTACCTTGAACGGCCCCGACTGCTCCTTATCCCGGTAACCTGATCCTCCCCCACCCACATGCGCCCCAAAAGACGCTCCTCAAAAACACGCAGTAAGAACCCCTCTACTCGCAAGCTTCGTGCCTTCAGCTGCTGCGGCGGCAGACCAGCCCCCACACATGGCCCTCAGTTCCCCCCCATGCTAGCTACCGTTGAGTTCTCCAGCCTCCGTCAGGAGGCAGTTGCCCCTTGCCCTCAGTCGATTTTAGGGAACAGATACTCCAGCCCCAGGAACCACAACGCCGTGCCCATCAGCACTCCCACCAGCACCACCAGCGCCACGCGCCGGGCAATGCCTGCACACAAGAAAAAGGTAGCATGCATGCATTTCATCAATCATCAATTGTTAAGTATCTATTTATCACGGGTCAACCTACCACGCTACCCGCATCAGACCTAGTCATTCGCCGGGTTCATCATGGCACGCAAGGAGTCAGTCACCAAGCACAGATACACGGCGCCGTCCTGTCCATGAAAAACACAGTCCACACTGAAGCTTCACCTTCACCTTAACTTATCTTCAGCTGCAGCAGGAGCCCAGCAAGAGGGCAAGGGACAGGCAGGTTCCTGCACCCCGCAACGTGTCGAACCTAACCCGGCCTCATCTCAAGATTACACCCAAACCCGGGCTCCCCTCAAACCCCAACCCCACGTGGCTTCCTTCAACCTCTTAGCACCAATTGTGCGGGCCCCTGCCGCACCACACCAATGCACCGGAACCCTCACCACACGGCCAACAAGCCTAGGAAAAGCTTCTCAGTATCGCCGGCTATCCGTCTTTTTCCACATACATGCCCAGTGTTCCTATTCCCAGCACAGCACCGCTTACCCCCGATGGACGTGTCTACCTCAGCCGTGTCCCCACCGGCTGACCCCAGGATTGAGTCCAGGTCCTGGCCACCCGTGGAAGCCGGTCGGGAGCGCCCGCTGCCGTATGGCCGCTCCGTGGGCGGACGGTTGGCCATTGCAATCTGCACCTGCTGCGCGAACCGTCTGAGCTGGATGGTAATCTGTAGGGTGAGGTGAGGTGGAGAGATGGAGACATCACTTTCTCGCGCCACCCTAGACCTCATTGCTAAAATACTTAGCTTCTTTGGACCCCTATCCGTCAGCCATCCACCCGCCCATCCCTCCCTTTTTCGCGAACCACGCGCAATCCTTGGACACACAGGTGTTACGTTTCGCTTCAACCCACTCCGGTCCGCAGGCACCTGACCCCTGACTCAGCCTCCCTGGATCCCTGGCCGGCCCTGCCTGGGGTGATGTGACCATCTGTACATAGCTGGGGTCCTCCAAAGCCTTCTCGTAGTCCAGGCCATTACGTAGTCCCTCTGCAGGTACGGCAAGGGGAGTACGGAGGTGCCGCATGGCATGGATGCATGGATGGGCAGCTAGATGGACGGCACGGATTGAAGGGACCATCGGATAGATGGCATGGATGTCGGGGTGGGGTAAGACGAATCACTGACGATTGAAACAGGTACCTGGTATAACGGACGTTCTAGGATTAGACAGATACTGCTGTGGTGCGCGGATGGATAGACAACGACCACTAGAGTGCAAGCCGCTATCGTCCTTAATCACACACAAGCAACACGAGCAACATAGCAGCACAGGACGCGGCACAACAGCAGTCCATATCGATGCCAACTTCGCCACAGTCATCGTGAATACAGTTGTATGCAAAAGCGGCTGCCGTATCACATCGTATGCCATACCTCGCAATGTCATCTGCGCCAGCTCCACATCACCGAAAGATGCATGGACGGCTGTCACGCCGAACAGTGCCGCCCGCCGTTGCTCGGGGGTAGGTTCCTGCAACCCTCCGTGGGCAAGCGGCAGGGCGCCACACCGGCCACATAACCGTGGGAAGGGCAAGGAGCGAGGAGGGAGAGGATGTAACGAGGAGAGGAGGACTTGGGAACAGGCACGGAACGACTTGCAGCTGGCGTTGCAAGGCCGCTGGTCAAAGGGGAAGCGAGCTGGCGATTTGCACGTTCGTCGTATGGAGTTTGATAGGGTGTGCGATCCAGACCAGGCCGTTGTAGATGGGCAGGGGATTTAGGGTTTGAGGAGGAGATGGACGTAGGGTATGTGATACGCACCTCGTTAAGGACGTCCTCGTAAAGTTTCATCGCCTGCAGCCGGTCCCCTTCCGTGTACTTGGCCTTGGCCTTGGCCAAGATAGAATCAGCCTAGCATATGAACAAGTTGGACATGATCGTCATGTTGTGCTTTCCAAAAAGTTGAAGTCCCTGATTACCCCTTGCTTGCCTTCGCATTGGCCTGCACTCGCACAACCTGCGCTCTACTGCAAGTCCTGCAACCTGAAGAGTCAAGTGGGATATGTTCAATTGATGAACTCCATTATTAAGAAATTGCTGTGGATTGCTGTTGAAGGCGCACCCTTGATATTTGGCTTCAAGGCTCGGGCCGATGGCCGCGATGTCCCAAAGGGTTTAAACCTATGCATCAACATCTCAAGTGAGGGGTTGTCTAATACTTGCAACTAATGCCGCATTCGATCGTGTGACCTACCAGCTACCAGTGGTCGTTGTCTCCAACGAAATGCCGTAGTATGATGCTTACATTGCGGATCCTGCGGACGCACCAGGAGTTACAGCGACTCCATGCATTTATCTATCTATGCAGAAGATATGTTAAACAAATCAGTACATATGCGTGCATAACGCCACAGCCTTTCCTCTCGCACTTGCACGCCCAAACCAGGTGCTTAGCAGTTCCGTTGGAGAACAACTATGTTGACTCACACGTCTCACATATATCGTAAGGATCGACGGTACAAAACTGCGGATAACGGTCCCGGCCACTGGCGACGTGCAATGCGCCTCCTACCATCTTCCCTTACATCACCTGAAACGACACCCTTGAGCACTGCTTCCACATTTCAATCCTACAATAACGTAGCCTTTGATACCAGCGGCAACAATAAAAGCAGTACCAGTAGCAGTAGCAGCATCTGCGGCTCCGGAACCAGGAGCCCAACCGGTCGCTATGCTTCGGCCAGGGACCAGACTGACAGCAGCAGGTTCTTACACCGACGGCAGTTTCTAGCGGCAGCTGCTGGCGTTATCCCGACCTTGGGCCAGGCTGGTGAGTCTGGGCCAATCCATGTGATGCCGGGGCCGCAACCACAACGGGCAGCAGGCCCCAAAACCCGCGCTCGCAGCCCTCTGGTCTTTATCTTATGATGGAAGACAGCATACAACGAAGCACGACACGACTTTGTGAAAGTCCCCCTCTTCCCTATGCTGGTTTCCTCCCCTTCCCCTCCTCTTCCCAGCCGCCACCGCCGGCGCCGCCATATCTGCGGAGACCGCCCCTCCACCAACCCCCTCTCTCTCCTCCTTCCTGCAGCCCCTCCTGCCCTCCCCCGCCCCCGACCTCCTCGCCCAATTAGAGGGCCGCGCACCTATCTTCCAACCTGGCGTCGCGTGGTCGCGCCGAAACCGCGATCGCCAACTGTTTTACCCAGCCTGGCTGGCTGGTGAGTGGGAGGTCACGGCGCGCTTCGCAGCGGCGTCCTTTCCACAGGGCCATCGCCTGCTGGGCCGCACCGTGCCGGGGGTACTGAAGGGCAGCATGGTGGCTGCGCTGCCCGATGTGGGGGCGGCCATGGATGG